CTCCTCCTCCTCAAACCCACTCCCTCCTAGCACTGCTGTTGTTACCTAGCTGGGTCATGAAACATTTGCAAGAAAACTAAGCTCAAAGAGCACCAAGGACTTTACAGTCATTTCCTTCCTTCCTTTCCTTCCTTCCTCCTCCAACCTCTTGCCCTCCTAAGCACTGACGATACCTAATTAGGTCATGAAATGTTTGCAAGAAAACCACCAAGCTCAGAGAGCACCAAGAACTCCACAGTCCTTCCTTCTCCTCCAACCCCTTTCCCTCCTAGCACGGATGACGTTAACTAGCTGGGTTACAAAACGTCTGCAAGAAAACCACCCAGCTCAGAGAGAACCAAGGATGGAGAAGGCTGGTCCGTAACTCCAGGATCCAAAGGAATCTGGCTTTGGTTTTCAACTGGATTCGTTCTGGGTTGGGGCTACCCCCATCCTCTTCCTCGTGCCAGGAGAATTTCTCCCTGTTTTTACCTTCAGATACTGGACAGCCTTTTGCACGTTCCAGTTGTGATTCTGTAGGGCGGCTTTACACTCTTCGGTGGTGACACCGTGCACAGTATCCTGGACCTGCAACGGGAGCAAAGATGATGCAAATTATGTTGACAGTTGTGTAGCTCAGAAGAAGGTCCCAACACTTCCACCCCGCTGTATTCTGGTCCCTGATGGATTTAATCCCCATTCATTTTGAATGTTTAGTTATTTTTGCTCTTATGATGCTGCAAGCCAACCTGAATGACAGTGAGACGATCAGTAAATAAATTTAAAATATCTATCTATATAAAAACTTGTGTGTGTCTGTATGTGTGTGTGTGTTCCAGCATAACATTGGAGCAATAGCAACCAAACTTGGTACACAGTTTATTTACTCTTTGGAAACGAATACTGTGGGGGTAAGACACCCTTAATTAACACCCTTCGGGGTGTGTGCTCTTAAGACAGAGCCTGTTGTGCCTCCACATGGCTTCTACTGTACTGCCTTAAAATGGCTTCTACTGTACTGCCTTAAAATGGCTTCTA